GGGTGCGAAGATTAGAGGTGTACGAGAGAGTAACAAAAACACAAAAAAGGAGGAGAGATAACGACGATAGATATTTCTAAACTTCTCTCACCAAAAATTGTTTATGTCATTCTAGGGTTCTGAATTTTGTTGCGTCAGTGGAAAACCGTAACTGACGGGATGGAACCTACGACATTCAAAGCCAAGACAGACTAGATGTAACAAGCGCTGAGGTCAGGACCATGAAGTGAGAGGTGAGAGGGACAGGAGGACGGCTAATACCAAGATGTTCCTGTACGACTTTACTGGGTTGACTCTGATAGACAGTACTGTAAAAGTTTCCTGCTTCCTAAATATTTTTGACTGAGGAGTAAAATATTTAAAATAGGCCCGGCTATTTACTGGGCAAAAAACACAGAGCCTGTCACTTTTTTGTCGGCTGGATAGTGGACATTGACGATAATTAACAATTTTAATTCAGTTCCAAATTAATCAAAAACTAATATTTACCAATATCATTCCAAAATAACCTTGACGATTTGAAGGCGCCCCCAAAATACGGTATGTGTTCATATATGTGTTTTCGCATTACAGAAAATTTTTTTCTTTCATTCCGATAGGGCATCGACTAGAAGGCGAGCAGCCTCAAAACAGCATAATAATAATATACAATCCAAGTTCAAGAACTTCAAAACAGATGTTCGAACCAGGGTCAAACTCACCTTAGCCCAGATTGATACCAACTGCTGAGCTAACGACTTACGCCATCGGCAGTACGTGATGGTAGTTGTAGATGCGACAAAGGGAAGAGATGATCTCTCCCCCCCCCTCCCCCCACTCACACACTTCTTCCTTTCAACCCCATTCCATAGCTAGGGCTAAAACAATTTGGAACAGCAGCTATTGTTCCCCAGGCGTTTTACTGCGGGGTTCCCTAGGCTGGAATCGTTACTCCTTCATTGCTTGTAAAATTGTTTATGCCGCATTCAACACAATTTTGATCATTTTTGGAGGATGGATACTTTGCCCCTGTCTATCTGGGCCAAATAGGTTTAACCCTATCCGTACGCCCTGGAGTCATTTTGCACCACCGGGGTTGTATTCTTCACTTTTTTCTAGTACGAAGATCTCTTTGAAACTTTCAGTATTTCTCAAAAAATCATTTTGACAGACTGCTATGCAAAACGTACGGATCGGATTAACGATTAAATTTCTTCTTTGGAAAGTGGTGGCACAGAGTTCCCCCACGTCGTATGGATACCATGGATACGATAGTAAAAAACGACGTACGGATAGGATTAAGTGACATACAGCGTCCCCGAAGACTGACGGAGATATCCAATAAAAACACTTCTCAACATGAGAATTGAGCACATGTCATCTGCATGCAACTAACTGTGCCATGGTTTATGAGTTTGACACCAGCGTGGGCAAATTACTTCTGAGCACGTCTGTCTGTCTGCCACGGCATCACACTTAATCCGTCTTGGCCGCGACAGGAAGGATCGAGCCTTTTACAATCATTTAAAAAATCAAGTAACGCAAAATGATTTATAGCTGTGTCACATGTGTGATATTATCATCCGACCATGCACTTTTACTTTATCTTAAATATCTAAAGCATTATGTGGTTTGTGTGAGTGTACGATAAGTGTGTGTCGTGTGGGGGGGGGGCAGGAGTATACAGGGCAGTACTGCATAGCTTGTGCCTTATGGGAAATACGCTAGAGTCATAGGTCTTCCTGTGTAAAATGTTTTAAAGTACAAGATCACAACCTTTTTTGTTTTTCTGTTGGTTGGTTTGTTTTGTTTGATAATAAGAACGCACGGCATAGCGTGAATGGAAATGGAAACAGAACGGGGCTGGGGGTGGGGGGATAGCTATTGACGGAAAAGACGTTGAGGTCCCTGAAGTGCTCGAGACTGGGAAGGGTGGAAGTAGAAATTTCTCAATTGGCAAGCGTGTTTGCTCTATAAAACACGACTTTGTAATTTGGGAACCCTTGCAAACGAACAGATGGACATACTCAATGACATGTTGTGTATTCGTCCTTTGATGCACACACTTGCATATATACCAGCATATACGTAAACACACACACACACACACACACACACACACACACAAACACACGCACACACACACACACACACGCACATACATACATACATATTTACATACATACATACATACATACATACATACATACATACATACATACATACATAC